CATAATATTCTAATGTTAGCTTTTTAATTTTAGTTGGGTCTGTTGTGATGTTGCCTAATTCATCTCTTATTCAGATTATTTGTGTCTCCTTTTGTGAGTTTTGATAGTGGTTTGTCGATTTTATTGACCTTTTCTGAAATCACAGATTTGGTTATAATTGCTTCCAATATATAAAAGACTTTAGAAAGATTATTTAACTATCTATTAACAAAGCATTTCCAGAAACTTACTCTTTTTTAAAAAAAAACAGAATTTACTGTTTGAAATTTATGAAAATGGTTTAAAAATTGATCCCATCTTATAATCTGACAAAGAGAAAAAGCCATAACTAGTTTTATGGGGAGGAAGTACCTGCTCCCCCTTCTGACCCCCACAGGTGCAGAAAATACAATCTTACAATCTGTATGAACAAGAGCACATCTAAAACTGGTCTCAGAAAATACTTTTCCTAGACTATAAAAATACTAAGTGGAATATAAAAACTTCAGCATGTACAACAAAAGGACTACAGCAGACAAATACTGAAAACAGATAGAAAACTATCTTGTACCACAATCATCGTGAACATCAAGTATTATTCTAATAGCTTGTGTCTAACTCACTGTTCCCAGACCCAAGCATTTTGTTACAGGTCAAATTCCGTGTTTCTAGCAGAAGTTACTGGGGACACAACTGATGAGTAATTCCTGCTTGATGAAAAACTGGATTTGTTCTCAAAGTGCTAAAAGTGTAACTGGAGTACAGACCACTTTTTAGATCTGGAGTCGGCCAAGTATCGTCTGAGGGTCAGACCTGCTTCCCTGTTGTGTACCACTGCTGAACACAGTTGCGCTTCCGTGGTTACATGGCTGCATGCGCAGAGTGAAAGACAGGGGACCTCTTTGCCAGAAAAATCTAAAGCACTTGCTCTCTGGCCCTTTACCAGAAAATTCTGTCAACTTCTATTTTAGTTAAATCACTTGAGGAAATTTTTCACTGAACATGGATATGGTAAAACCGTCTAGGATTAAGGACAGGTGGACCGAGGTGTGCTGAATCCACCATACCACACCATGGCAGGCCAAAAGACTACAAATTTGGATTGGCACCTGATATCAAGACACTATTCTGACCTTCCAAGTCTAGCTTTGTTAAAGTATCTTTTCCCTTCTCTATGAAGGGGCTTTTGTACACTAAATAACACACGTACCAGAATACAGCAGAGCATTTACTTTTGAACCCAAACACCTATATGGCTCTCAAATGGGATTCCTAGGCATTAAAAATCACTATCAGGTTACCCTTAGCGATGGAAAGAATTCAAAGAGAACCTTTCCCACTTCTTCTGTACCAGAATAGACTTAAACGTTATACTGTGTACCATTCAGAAGCCTTCTCTGTGACACGCATCATGATAATTAGTACTACTGCTCCCCAGGGCCGCAAACATGTCCCTTTTGACAAAGTGGACCAAGTTTTCGAAGGGGCACATTGGCCTGTGAGAAAGTTTGTGGTGCTCCTGGCAGAAAGTGGTGTGGAACGTGACGTCAACACCATTGTAAAGAATCCGGACAGAATGCTCACCGGGTTTCTCTCTGTCTTGCCAGAGCTCAAAGATCAATCTGGCCACAAACCTGGGAAATCTGGCTTCCGTCAGGCCCAGGGCACTAAGAACTGGAGACAGAGTGACATCATGGGCAGAGTAGAGGGTGAAGATCTCTTCCCTCCTGCCTTCCGCAGCTCGTTGCATCCGGCCGATGGTCTGATTCAGGATAGGGTGGGCGCCCAGGAGCGCGTACCCAAGATACAGTTTCTTCTCCCTCCTCTCTTTCTCGTCCTCTATCTGGTGTGTCTTGATAACCTTAAAGTGCTCCATGTCGATGCAGCCGTTTCTAGTACAAGGGAAGCTGACGTTGTGGCAGAATTGACAGAGCATGGAGTCTATGGGGTTGGAGGTGCGGAGCTGCTTGGTGGGGACGTCCACCACCTTGGCCATCTCCCCATAGGTCTTCTCCAGCTGGCTGTTCTTTAGACGCAAGAGGTACTGTGGACGCTGCTCCTTTTCCAGGTATTGGTTTCTCACCGGGCAGTAGCAGTTTCCAGAGCAGAATACTTGGCTGGTGCCTGAAATAGACCTTCTTCCAGTCAAAATCGGGGAGAAAGCCATAAAGCAAGGCCAGCCCACTCTGCAGAGTTCGGCTCTTCCCTGTGGTCTCTAAGTAAAGGTGCTCTGTGGACCAGTCACTCGGCAGGAGTTTATGTTTCTTCCGATAGATGTCCCTCAGCAGCTGACCATTCTGCAAATGCTGCACAATGCCTGTCTGCGTGAGCTCTCCCATCTCACACAGGGGGTGATTAGGGGAGAGAGGCAGGGAGTGCAGGGGGCTTTCGAAGGAGGCTCCAGACCCTTTTGAAATGTGACTGACGAAAGCTTCCAGTTGAGGCTGAGATGGTTTTCTGTTGGCCACCAGAGTGCAGTCGATTTCAGGGCACTTGGTCTTGGGAATGGCATACAGCGGGTACCTGTCCCCGTGGTGGATGAACACGTGCACGGAGACCAGTTTAAAGTGATGCGGGGCATGACCTTCCATGCTGCGCTCGGCCACACTCGGAATGTTGCAATGCAGGAGAGCTTCGTAGACGGGTCCGTCACGGTCACG